CCCCTCCCACATTCCAAATCCCTCAGCCTGGAGCCCCCTCCTGCACCGCAAACCCTTCATCCCCAGCGGGAGCCCCCTCCTGCACCCTAAGCCCCTCAGTTCTGGCCCCACCCTGGAGCCCACACTCCCCCAGTTAGAGCCCTCACCCCCTCCCACACCCCAACCCCGTGCCCCAGCCCAGTGAAAGTGAGTGAGGGTGGGGAAGAGCGAGCCACTGAGGGAGGGGAAATATAGTCACTGGGGGTGTGGGCTTGGGGCAGGGCAGGGGCGTGGGCTTGGGGAAAGGGCGGGGCTAGGGTGTTTGGTTTTGTGACTAGAAAGTTGGCAACCCTACTTAGTGGTGCACTCCTCACAACAATGACACCACAAAAGGAACTCCTAAAGTGCACTACAAAACAAAGACAACCATTTTACAATTACTACACTAAACAAACCCTTATCATATACTAGAAACCAGCTAGCTGTTTTAAATTGCAGTCAACATCACAGAATCAAAGAAAAATAAGCTGAAACATTAATATTTACTTAAACGTTAAATAATAATGCATCCATAGTAACCTCAAACAACTTCTGAAAAAGCTGCTAAAACTTCTATAAATGGGAATGCACCAATAAAACATTACTTCAAATGGCTCAAGAGACCTGAGAGTATAGCTCTTCTGTATTTTTGGGAGCAAAAATGCATCCCCTTCTTTTGCAGCTGAAAATAGGAGCATCAAAAGGTCTTAACTTTTTTTTTGTTTTTTTTTTTTTAAACACAACGCTTTTAACTCTCTCAATGCTAAATGTGTAGACCAGTGGCTTTCAAACTGTGGGTCACGACTCAGTACTGGGTCACAGAATGGAAGGCATGGGTCACGGCTGCTCTGGTCAGCACCGTTGACCGGGCTGTTAAGTCCCATCGGTGGTGTTGCCCAGCTAAGGCAGGCTAGTCCCTACCTGTTCCGACACCGCGCTGTGCCTCAGAAGTGGGCCTCCTAGGTGGGGGGCACAGGGCTCTGCATGCTGCTCCCACCTCCGCCTAGGAGCCAGACCTGCTGCTGGCTGCTTCCAGGACGCAGTGCCTCTGCACCTCAGCTGCTCCGCTGACCGGAAGCCGCCGGAGGTAAGTCCGTGCCACAACCCCTTGCCCCAACCCTGAGTCCCTCCCCCTCCTCAAACTCAGAGCCCCTTCCTGCATCCCAAACTCTTCATGCCTGGCCCCACCCCAGAGCCTGCACCCTCAGTCCAGAGCCCTGATCCCCTCCTGCACCCCAACCTGCTGCCCCAGCCCAGAGCCCCCTCCCACACTCCAAGCCCCTCATCCCCGGCTCCGTTGGGTCACAGGCATCAACAATTTTCTTCAGCTGGGTCTCCAGAAAACAAGTTTGAAAGCCATTGCTCTACTGCGTAAACACATCACATTGTGCCTGTTCCACTGGCTCCATCCAGCGCCCTATCAGAGCTGGCTTAATGACATCCTGACAGTCTGTCAATGAACCATGCCTCCTAAACCACTCTATTAAATTAAATTAATGGAGATATCCCATCTCCTAGAACTGGAAGGGACCTTGAAAGGTCATAGAGTCCAGCCCCCTGCCTTCACTAGCAGGACCAAGTACTGCCCCAGATCCCTAAGTGGCCCCCTCAAGGATTGAACTCACAACCCTGGGTTTAGCAGGCCAATGCTCAAACCACTGAGCTATCCCTCCCCCC